TATCTGGGGTGGAAATAAGATCATCTGGTGATATCCCTAGAGACTGCCATTGTAGTATCGTCATACGACGGGACTCGGGCCCCGGTGAGGGGTTGCTGCCCTTCTTCAAAAGCTCCCATATATTTCATATATCCCAAAATTTACCTATTGAACTTTCCGCTATTCGCCTACCAGAGAACATAGGCCTTATAAGCCTCAAGTACGTTGATCAACTATTAACTAATACCCAATTAAAAAATATTTCATCAGATATATTATAGGCACACAGAATGGGGCTGTACCCAGTAGTAGAAGAAGTCGCGAAGACACTGGAAACCGTAGACGGGTTCCGCTTGAGACAGTTATGCGATGTAAAACGCCAACTAGAACAAGACTGCGACACGCGGAAAGCACTATATAAGAAGTACCATAGAGCTTTCAATGCCGTGGACGGGACTGATACTGCCCTTATGGCAACCAGCATGGGACTAGGGGCGGCAGGTGTTGGGTTGTTAGCTACCATCGTGGCTGCACCTATAGTGCTAGGTATTGAAATAACAGCTGGGGTGACAGGGGTGTTAGGGTTGGTGCTTAAGTTTGCATCACGCAGACTGCATCGTAAGGCGTTGAAACACGACGAGATCAGGGTTCTGGCCGAAGCAAAGCTGAACACGATAAGTGAGCGTATTTCCACGGCACTCACTGACAGTAAGATCTCAGAGGAGGTGTTTCGTTCAATCCTCTCTGAACTCACAAAATATAACAAAATGAAACAAGAGATTCGATCCAAGTCTCGTAAGTCTGCTATCAGTGGGGACGAGAAAAAAAAGTACATAGCACAGGGGATACAAAAAGCCCGGCAAGCCTTTATTACGAACACCAAAGAGATCATAGGCGATTCACATTAAACTTTCATCGATGTCAACGTGACATAGAGGCACGTGGAGCGATGATGCAATCCCAGGATAAACCCGTTAATCCGACATACTTCAGCTAAGTCCCCGGTAGCTCAGTCAGTTCAGTAGTGCGGTTGTGAGGTGTACATGTGGGGTTCGTATCCCGCTGGCGTCTCAACTTTTTATAAGATCGGGAAAGCAGTAGGGGTAATGGTAGCTGGATCAAGGGTCCGACCAAAGCCTTATTTGTGAAATAAGGCTTTGCAGAGGCTTTTGTTGAAAGTGATTTCGTACCCCCATTCCCCCTACTACTATTTTGTAAGTTTTCTTAAGTTCACTGAATGGCAAAATACCTTGATCATTACACAAGTCTTTTATAGAGTGAATACCTTTGAGATGCCAATGTCTTATAATGAAATTACTATTTTGAAATTGGTGATTGAACCAAAGGGGTTGGGATAAGATTTGATCAATATCTGTAAAATCAGTTTTATGTGTTTTATAGAATATTCCCCATGCAGCCAATACATCTTTCCAATAGGGATTCATAATACTGACATAATTTTCAATATTGGCTCCAAGCAGAAATATATCTTGAAATGGAAAGATACTAGGGTTAGAACTGCTATTATTTTGAAGATATTTATATAAAACTGACAGTTTTAAAGAGTTTATGAATACCTGTACATTAACCATTCTGAGTCCCCCCTCTTCATATTTTCTAATAAGTGTTGGTCGCTTTATCTTATCCCGCTTATCATTCCAGATGAATTTATAAAATATATTGTTTAATTTGTCAATGAATTCCTTTGGAGGATTTGGGGGTGAGGTTAATATATGCACCAATGATGAAAGTGCTAAAGTTTTAATAACAGTTATTTTCCCTTTTAATGTCAACTTTCTTTTCCTCCAATTCCCTAGAGTTCTATTAATAATTTCTAGTCTTTTTCTTGTATTAATTACCCAAAGGTTATTTAAATTAGGATTAAGTCTTATTCCTAGAATATCAAAATCCCCATTATGCCAATCAAGCTTAAGATCCTGGCATAAATTCATGCTATTACCTGCCATTGAACCTATCCACACTGCATTCGTTTTATCTATATTTATTCTTAAACCAGACATTTTGTAGAAATTATTGAGAGTGTCAGTTGCTGCCCTTAAACTTTCTTCACGCCAATCGAGAAATAATTCAGTATCATCTGCATACTGTCCAATTTTATGTTCAGTGTTATTCAATGTAATTCCTTTTATTGCAGTGTTGTTACAGATAATTATTCCTAAAATTTCAGCCACTAAGATGAATATATAGGGAGAGACTGGGTCCCCTTGTCTACAGCCCCTTTCATTGTCAAAAAATTGTGATAACTGACCATTCTGTATAACACATGATGTAGCATTATTGATTAATATTTTGATCCATTTTTCCATATTGGGTCCAAAGCCAAACTTTCCAATTGTTAAAATTATAAACAAGAGTCCCTTTTTATCTTGTACTTTTGCTTCAAACATAATGTCGTATAATAATCTAATGTTCTCGCTAATACACCTTCCAGGTATAAAACCTGTCTGAGTTTCATGAATAAGTGTATTCAATGTTGTTTTAATTCTATTGGCTATACATGTGCTGAGTATTTTATACAAAGAATTCAGTAGGGAAATTGGGCGCCAGTTTTTCAACAACTGTCTATTTCTGTTAGCTTTTGGAATACATGTGATGACGCCTCTGTTTATTGTTGGACTTAACATATTTTGCCTGAATGCTTCTGATATATATCTACAAACCCAAATATGAAGATCTTTCCAGAAAAAATTAAAAAATTCTATTGGGAAATCATCTACTCCTGGGCTTTTGTTATTTTTCATTGATTTAACGGCTCGTGTTATTTCATCACCCTCAAGTAATATCACCCTCAAGAGTTTCAGCCTGTACACTGCAGTTTGGGTGTAATAATATCATCAAATATATTAATATATTTATCTGTTATTTTACCACCTGATGAGTATAGATTTTCATAAAATTGTCTTTGTTCATTTAATATAGCCTTACCATCTGATATTACTTCCCCTTTGTCATTGATAACACTATTCATAAGCTTACTGGTATAATTTCTATTTTCGAGATGACAGAAATAGTTGGTTGGTTTTTCTCCTTCCTCGTACCTCTGAATTCTATTTCTTATCTGTATACCTCTTATTTCATCTTCTTTTAATTTTTCAAACTCTAATTTACATTTGGATAGTTCAGAAAGTTTAGTTTCACATATGGTTTGGAAATTTTCTCTGATTTCTTCTTCCATTGCCAAAATTTTTCCTTCTAAATTTTTGCTTTTTTCAGTTTTGAATTTTTTTAAGTAGGAAGAGAATGATATTGTTTTCCCCCTTACTTTCATTAAAAATGTTTTTAAGAACAAAGTGTTGCTTATATTAAGTTGTAGTTTAGAATCTTCAATATCACCTAGTTCCTCCTCAGTGCAGTTACAGTATTCTAATTTTGTTTCAAAAAGCATATCCTTGACTGTGTTTACATATTCTTGGTTGTAAAGTAATGATGTATTTAGTTTCCAGTATCCTCCACCCCGTTCCTATTAAGTTGATTAGAAAAAGAAATGGTAATTGCTGAATGATCAGATTTATATCCTGGAAGTATTGAGCAGTCAGTTGTCATGTTTGCTAAATCTTGAGAAACTAAAAAGAAATCAAGTCTGGACTGTTGTTTAGGGTTTCTTTTCCACCATGTGTATTTCTTTACATCATAATTTCTCTCCCTCCAAATGTCTGTCAAATCATACTTTTCTATATTAACTAACACTACTTTTCTTGCTTTTGGATTATTGATATTTTTATAACTTTCTAAGTCTATGGAAGGATTAAGAACTAAGTTCCAGTCTCCGAATATTATGAGAGATTCATTTTCAAATTCATCAATTTTATGAAATATTGCATTATAAAAATCAGGTTGATCTTGATTAGGGCCATATATATTAGTCAATGTGATTCTTATTCCTTCTATAGTTACATCTGCTATTATATATGTAACGGGGATGGCACTTTTACAACGACACAACTCCGTTGAGGCTGCAAGTTCCTTTTTATTACTGTAGTTTGTATATAATAATACAAGTCTGAAACAATGTATATGAATTTATAACATTCCATCACAATACCTATTTTATCACATTCATTCTTTTCATTGCACATTGTTCAGATAATTAACAATCACAGCTCTACCACTGAACATATAAAAATAACTCAAAACACATTGACATCACAAAATTAATGGTTCAGTTTCATATTAAGAACCTTATGATTTATGGAACACTTTGGGCATCTTCAAAACAGTGAAACTTCAACGTGTCTTACCATCTATGGGACAACTTGCTTCAAACTGGCCACATGTTGTGAGGCACCAACAAAACACCAAGAACCTAAAATATGTATGTTTTAATTAGCATGGAAATGCTAATTCTCACCAGTAAAGTAAACGTACAAACTGTTTGGACTCAAACATTAATCTGAATCAATTGTAAGTGAAATTATTGACATCAACAATTTCTAACCATAGGTCAAAATATACCTCCACCAAATGCATAAATTCAGTTACAATAAATACTGAATTAACCTTTCAACAATTAAACATATTTTTATAGTTTATTCCTTTTATATAAAACCAAATGTAACTAACCTGTAATTCACCCAAGTCACAGTCCACCACCCATGACTTTCAAACCACCTTGCCAGGTTGGGAGAAAGACAGCAAGTGAACAAACTTCACACTTTCCAAATGCAACTAAATTCAACATCCAATCAAGATGCTGCACATCTTCAGCCAATAAAAACCAAGGACAAGACAGCAGACCTGACCTCATTAAGACTTGGCTAATTTGCATAGGAACTACTTTTGACCCATGACCCAGTGGTGACTATAAATAAATCATGGACTTGTGAAAATGTAAACCTTTTCACTGGCAATTGTATTATTGTTTAAGGTGTTATTAATTGATTACAAACAGGAACATAAGACAAGACATATTAAAATAGATTGCTTTTCCAGAACATTTTAACATTTGTATAATTTGTACTTGTTACACACTTGTTTTGTACTTGTTACATATAGTTTCCACTCTTGCGTTTGATTTATATGGTGCTATAATGCTTTGAAGACCCCATTCATTTCTCATAGTAGTTTCATCTTCCTTAGAAATATGAATATCTTGCAAACATATAATTGAAAACTTTCTTTTACGCCAAAAGTTCAATATTTCTTTACGTTTTGTCTTTTCTGCCAGGCCTCTACAGTTGGCTGAAGCTATTCTTATCTTATAACCCATATTGCTTCATAATGTGTGTACTGGTATTATAACTCAAATGCCTACTGATATGAATGTTTATCATTTTTTTGTAGAAAACAAGATAATAAAAGAAATCTGAAAACATAAAAGCTGAAAAAAGGCGTTACCATAAGTCAAATCCATCCTCTAGTAAACAAGTATTGAGGAAATTACCGCTGTGTCACTATCTTCATAACATCTGGTATAAATTCTATAGAGAAATGTATGTATACAAGAGAGCTGTGTACAAGAGGTGTCTTAAAACTAGGTCAAATAAGGGAGGTAACTCCGGTTCTGGTCAGTTCGATAACAGCATCGAAGGTATTTGACATTAATAAATCTTTCAATGTACAAGAATTATTGTCAGCAGGAATGTTTTGTTCTTCTATGCATATATTTATATGCTTCAAACTCACGTATTGGGGTTTGGAGACCATACTGCAGACAGGCAGTCGTGAGCTGGTGACATACTTGCTTGTCCCTCGGCAATTCAGTGCTAATCACGTGATCAGTGACCGTATTACACATGCAGTTAAAAAGCATATATCATTCACATCCTCAAGTGGTAATCATATATAGATACCACAATCAGAAAAAAAATCTTAATATTGATAGCGATATGTATATGTAATACATGCTGTTTCATTAAACGGAGACATCAAATGCATTGTCACTATCAGTGTAGCGAATGTCAACAATAGTCACATGATTCGGTACAAAGCACGTGATCAGTGGCCGTATTAGTCATGCGGCTATAAAGCATGTCATTGACATCCACAAATGGTAGTCATATATAAATACAGCATTCAGAAAAAGTCTTAAAACTGATAGAGATATTTATGTGTAATAGATGTTGTTTCATTAGAAGGTGACACCAAATGCATTGTCACTATCCGTGAGGTAGCGAATGTCAACAATAGTCACATGATCGCGGACCCACATGGGTCTAGAAATAGACATGTAAACAAACTGCTCATGAGAGCTGTGAAGATAGTATATATTGATAAATATCCATAGCAATAGTCTTCCGATTGCTTATCTTCGATAGGGATTATTGTTATATAGTCGTTACCCAGTTGTGCTCCATGAAGTTCAGTCGTATGAATTCTTGTAAAGGTATAAAGGTCTCAACCAGCTCCCGATCTGAGCAGCCGTCAGCAACATGAGCTGACAAACAGTGACTTCCGCCTCCAGTCATGCCTCCAGTCATGCCTGTCAAGGATTCCCCAGTAGATGGAAGACTTGGAATTTATGCCCACAATTGGACGACCCTTACGTTCTTTCCACTCTGTCCAAAGGATTTTAACTACCTGTAATCAGCAACCCACCACAGGACGTATCCCGCTTATCAGATGGCTGTCCTACAGTCTACCGTAGAGACTCTAGTTCACAAACTTGCGATCGAATTCCTGGGTCCAGCTCCCGCCACCCCAGCATCCTACTCACCAATTTTTTTTGTTTCTGAAGAAAGACTCCGACAAGTTGAGACTCATTTTCAACATGAAGGTCTTCAACAAGAAGGGGTCAGTCAACAAGAAGGTCAGTCAGTCAACAACATGTTCCTACAATCACCTCCTTATTTCTGAATAGTGTCGGTGGTGCTCTTTAAGACTATCATCAAACCAGGGGACTACCTGATCAGTAGGACCTGATCAGCTTACCTTCACATCCCGATCTTCCCGTACCATCGCAAGTTTCTCCGGTTCATTTTCAAGGGCACCCATTATCAGTGGCGTGTACACCAGTTTGGAATTTCTTCTGCTCCATGGCTATTTACACGGGTGATGAACCCCATCACCAGCTTTCTGCATCGCAAGGGAATAATCGTCGAAGCATACATAGACGATTGTATCCAGGCACAGACCGATCATGCCCTCCTGCTTCATCATATGAAATTCACACTGCAGCTACTTCGCCAGTTAGGTTGGCTCGTGAACATTCAGAAATCGGAACTAGTCCCCACAAACCGCTTGCAGTTCATCGGGGCGGTGTTCGACACAGAGCTCAACAGACTGTTCCCGAAGGACCGCTTTATCAAGATCCAGCGGTTAGTTCCCCTTGCACTATATCTCAACCCAGGACTCTTCGTCATTGGCAGGAACTCCTGGGTCTACTGACATCGGCCCAGGCCTTGACCCTCGGGTGAACTCCAACTTCGACCTCTTCAGTTGTTTCTGGCTCCGCACATCGTTCTGTCGCAGAATCGAACGTCTGCGGTGGAGTTTGTTTATGGCCGTTCGTCCCAACTCACCACCTGTACGTGGATGCATCTCTACACGGGTGGGGGCTCACCTTCTCAATCAGCAAGTGGCAGGGCTGTGGTCTCTCGAAGGCCACGCCTGTCACATCAACATATTGGAGCTCAGGGCGGTGATTCTAGCAATCACTCATTGGTAGCACCTACAGTCAACCAAACTAATGGTTGGGTCGGACAATGCGGCAGTCGCGTGGCACATCAATCGGATGGGGTCTACTGGGTCTGCCTCTGTTTGTATCTCCGATTCCGGATACGTTGGCCTGGGGACACGATGCTCTAGCCATTCCTTGAGACGACCTAAATGTGTACGTGTTTCCGCCAGTTGCCCTGCTTCCATGCATACTACTGAAATACGCACGACACAGAGGATGACTCTGCTTTTCGTCGCTCCTTATTGGCCGGCCAGAAGTTGGTTCGTAGAATTGGTCGATCCAAGTCCGGTATCACTTCCCGATTCTGCTGATCTACTGATCTCACTCAGATCAGCTGCATTGGTCTCTGCTCACACTCCATCTTCACGCCTGGTGCATGTACATAAGTCGCTAACTGCTAAGGGATATTCCTAGCGAGTCGCTATAGCTATCACCATAGCGCACCGAACCTCCACCAGGTCACTCTATGATGACAAGTGGAAGAATTTTTAGGCATATTGCAGAACGAAGGGTATAGCATCTCCTACTACTGCTTCACTGCAGATGGTTGCGGAATACCTACAACATCTTCGAACTACAAGAAAGCTGAAAGTTTCTACATTATCTATGTACCTGGCCGCCCTTAACACTGTTATTGCACCGGCTTCAGGAGTGAAGGTGTCTACCGTTCCTGAGCTCCAGTCTGTCCTCAGATCTTATATTCTGACCACCAGCTTGGGGCCTTTCCGTGGTGCTTAACCATCTTATGTCAGCGGACTACAAGCCCTTGGAGGAGAAAGACTTTGAACATGTCACCTTTAAGACCTTCTTTCTCATGACTTTAGCTACTGCTGCTCGCATCTCTGAGTTACACACCCAGGATGTCTCTCAGGTGCGTTTTGAGAGGTCCAGACATGCTCGAGTATTTCTTGGTTTGCGGTTGGATTTTGTTGCCCAAAACCAATTACCAGGACAGCCAGACCACATTTTCACAATCCCGCTGCTGTCCACTCTCTTGGGTCCTGACGACACAGAAGATCTTTTACTCTGCCCTGTTCGGCACTATGGATATACTTGGCTGCTTCATAGGATGGATGTAGTTTGCGTAAAAGACTCTTTATACTGCTGTCTGCTGCCTCCTCTTCTGAAGTCTCTCGCATCACTCTGGCGTTTTGGATGCCATCCACCATCTTGAGGGCTTACCCATGGCGGCGAACCCTCATTTGACCCGGGGCCTTAGCTTCTACCATGGCGCTCCATAGAAAATGATCCCTTCAAGCCGTCATGGAGGGATGTTTTTGGAGATCGGACACCGTCTTCGCCTCACACTATCTTCAGGATCTCTCAGTTACAGACATGGAAGGTCTGCAGCAGTTCGGTCCTCTCGTCCTGGCTCAGCAGCTGTCGTCAACCTGTACTCGCAGATGAGAAGCAATCCTTCCTCACGTCAGTCTTGCTCTATGTACATATAAAATAAAAGATATCGATGTTATCCATATCTTGGTACTTTTTTTCGTTTGGGCAAAGACCACCTCACCTAGGGAACAAGGGCATGTCTGCACTGTCATACCCATGAATTGAGAGATTGAGAGGCCAGTCTTGTGCTACATGCACAGGTGGTTGACACTCTGCCCATTGACCTCTACTCTCTGAGCAATTACGTCAGTGAAGTGTTGATGTGGTGATGAAGAGTTCCAATTACCTACGTGGTTTTCAAAGCATTTCGCTCCTAAGTCCTTTCTCACCTTTGGTAAGCCAGGGGGATGGTAGTGAATATTCAATGAGTTCAGCAACCAGGCCGTTCACCCTTTCACCGCCTTCCAGCATGTGTCTGTGGGGGATGGTTTCGAAGCAGGGGCAGATTAAGGTCTTCAACTTTAATTCACTGAGGCCATTTGATAAATCGCGGGGAGGCATGGTCTACTTGCCAGACTGCATCCTTTTGCTTGTCAAAAGTTGCGGCTGAAAACCACATTAATTCGGGACCGCCCACTCCCTAGAGTTTTTTGTGCTGCATAATCACATAGAAGCAACCCATCACATATTTGCAGTTAGCATATCGGGAGTTGGTGCTTTCTCCTGGCCTCCTTGCGTTATACGACCTCACGGTTATAGAGTTGACACAGGGTAGTCTGCGCCCGCCTTCCAACCGTGGGATAGGATAAGTTTAAAATTTCTAAATTTTAACTTTAAATTGTATATTTATATACTTATCCTATATCACATGATGAATACCCACCCAACCTGCCCCACATCAGAGATTACTGGAAGCTCCAAGACGAGAGGCACAGGGTATCTCGTGATCATCTGAGCAACCTGCACGCTTATTGAGATGATTGACAGGTACTGCTATTGGAGTGGGGGCAAAGGTCAGGTGGTCAGAGGCCAGAAAACTTTGATTAAACTTAGCCTCTAGCACGTTTCCACACATGGTCGTAGAAGAAGAGAGGTGCATACCGTGAGATAGGATAAGTATAGAAATAGCCAAATTATGGTTAAAATTTCCAATACTTTAATGTCATTGGTCAATGACGCTTTAACAAGTTTCCGTGTCACCTCTGCCAGGAGGGTGACAACTGGAAAAAAATATTACCCGCTGCCACGGTAACCACCAAACTCTCTGCCAAGAAGCTGTATCACTAACAGTTGTATGACATCATAATATGACACAAACAGAGCACAGAGTTCGAAAACTGTTCGATTATCTGTCTTTGTGTTCACCCCTGCGAAACTCAGTTCATGAGTTCACGAAGAGTTCATGAAGTGTTCATCAACTTCAACCAAAATCTTCATGAACCTTCTTCATGAAGACACACTTCATGAAGACTTCATCAACTTCATGAAGTTAATTCTTTAGGAAGACACACTTCATGAAGACTTCATCAACTTCATGAAGTTAATTCTTCATGAAGACACACTTCATCAACTTCATGAAGTTATTTTACACTTCATGAAGTTATATTTTACTTCATGAAGTTTTTGTTCATGAACTAAGACTCATCTTATTCACTGTAAATTTCCAGAGTAAACTACATTGAAAAGAAAATACAGACAAAATATTACAAGATACAATACTTTTATTCATGTTATATCAGTGGTTTTGTAAGGGTGAAGCATAAAAATATTTTCAACATATTTAAGAATGTTTAAATTATCTGAATCTGACTTGTACAATTTTGCTTACATGCTTCATGTAGCTGTGGTCAGTTTGAGGGAATCTGACAAGATCGAGAGCTGGAGAGTGGGTGTTTGTATTCACTACTGGTTCAAAAAATGAATGAGGCTATGATAACACAGTTTCACAGATGGATTTTTCAGCATCAAAGACAAGAGTTAGAGGAGACAAACTTTTAAGCAATTTGAAGAAATTGGACACAGCCAAGTTGGCTTTCTGTATACAAGTTACGTTTAAACCGAAATATAATATATTTTAATAATTGCTAAAAAGGGCACTGGTTCGAGAACGTACTTTGGCACGAAATCACAACAGTTACGTAAAAGGGTATTATGACATATTTTTGTGGTGCTGTAAGGTTCTTAAAATTAGGCCAAACATTCAAAAATCTAAAGTTGGAAAACTTTAATTTTTAATGGATCTTTCGCGTTATCTACACCAATATGTCTATGGGGCCTTTTAAAATGTTTAATATGCCAAACAACAATGTGTGGACAATATCACGATGTTTATTTCTTTACCATGTCTCTGGACTCAGTCTGAATATTAATTGTACGTGCAGTTGAGACTCGCGTCAATTCTGAATTTTCGCAAAAACGATCGAACACTGATGTAAACAACTACTGTCTTAGTCCATGTAAAGTGTGAAAATGACTAAAATGTTTTGTTTTGAAGCCAGTTTCCGACCACAGATGAGACATTCAAATTTGACATCGTGTATTTGGACGGTATTTCCCTTCTTTTCATGATGGAATCGGTAAATCTACTTCCCGTGAGTCGGGTGCATCCGCCATTTTGGAACGATGGCTGGTACCGGATGATCTCGTCGATCGTGATTCTTTTAAAAGTATGTATTAAAAACTTTATAAATGATACAATAAATCTTATGGAGCTTTTTAAAAACTGTATTGAGTCGTATTTGCTTCTTTGGATATGTTCTGTGTCAAACTACCGCGCCGTCGTTGTGGGAATCAAAGGTAAATGATCGAAGTTTAAGTTAAAAATGTTTGCTTCTATGTTGAAAAATTGTGTGAGCCTGTCACATTTGTCAATATTTTGATAAAATCACATCTTCAGCTTGTATAATTCAGTCTTGAGACCCGAGAAGATTCGGGTTAGAACTGGCCTTCAGTAACCCATGCTTGTCGTAAGGGGCGACCTACGGGATCGGGTGGTCACACTCGCTGACATGGTTAACAGACAGCCGCCATATAGCTGCAATATTGCTGAGTGTGGTTTAAACCTCCAAGTTCTGTATTCCTGTGATGATACTTTTGTGATTGCTTGTATTTGTTGTTTTAAAATTGATGTGACAATACCAAAGATATAACTTCATTATCCGGGAAGAAATTCTTTGTGCATCCTTCGTGTAAAATAAATTCTTTGATTTCAGCAAATTCTGTTCTTCAGAAATTGGGATTTTTTGTCGATCTTTGTGGCAGTAGAGAAAGGTGTTTTGCAGAAAAGGACCAGAACGTTTTCAATATCAGGAATGTGATGTGCTTTGTGTTGTATTTATTAACATTGAAGTTCCCAATGATTAGTAAAATACGCTATAGCTCTATGACAAAATTAATTACTATGACTCTGTGTGACGAAAGTATCATCACAGGAGCCACTTGTTCCGTTCGATTTACATGCATGAATTTAAACATCATCTCATTGAATTGTTTTATCTACCAGATCCTGCGTCAACCTATGTGCCTTCAGGGGTTAAACATAAACAGTCAAAAACAGACTTGGACTCGACAGGAACCAAAGGTATTTATTTGTGTTCGAAAGGTATAATTTGTAGTGATGCACCAATGGATCAAATGATCAGAAAATTTATCATTTGACAATCAAACTTTGAATATATATTTGAATAAATTCCAATCGATAATACTATACTGTTTTCAAGAATAACAAAGATTGGTGTACATGCAAGATTTGTAAATACCTCCAGGTAGGTCATAATACAGGAGGTCAAGGCTTTTTTTTAGCTTGCCAAGGGAGCCATTGTTTTCTTCTTTTGCAGGTAGGTGATAAAAATATTAGTTTTAGGGTGGATGCATATATTATTTAGACCCATGTTTAATAATATGTTGGAATATGCAAGCATTGATGAAGGTTTTGTTAAGACATGTAGTATGTTATGAAGACATATTAAAAACAACTCCCAAGGTTGGAATTATCAATTAACCCCTTGCCTTACGTCCATGTCCACTGGGTTTTTTTCTGTTGGGCAAGCAAATTTGTATATCACTGTACCGGTGTCCTGGCCATTTGACTTTCCAATGTTAATTATGTTGTTTATTTAAACCATCAGCAAGAAAACGGTCGGTATAGTGGAAAAATTATCAGGGCAAGTTACTTTACATGTGCCACTGTATCAGAGTACACAATCAATTTTAAAGTTATTTCTACCCCTGAATTCCTGATAAATATATCACATTGAAATCGAAACAAGCTGGGCAGACTGTGAAAAAACTGTCTGCTTCCCCACCACATATAATCGCATCACGAAAACATTCTGTATTTATGAAAGGCTCAATTCTTATTGAATTCACGAACATGGTTGGAAATGTATACATTTATTGATATTTGTCACATTCACTCTTAGATCTATAGTCGTTCTATTCTGATTCTACATGGAAGTCGACACATAGATATTGAGG